AAATATTTTAATTAAAAATTATGGATATGCTGTGCAAACTACTCAGCCTTAGAACAATATTTCTGAAATTCAAAAATGGCATGATTGGCCTATTGGAAGGAAAGTTTAGTAAACATTAGAGCCATATCTGCATATTCATATTTAAACCTTAATTTTCGGGTTATGTGTACGAGAAGATATGGGATGAAGGAGGGAGATTGGTTGGCATAATAAATTTAAAATTTATGTATGATAAACTACAACCGGATGTGTGTGCCTATATGCTACACATGTATAAATACTGCTGCTTATCCTGTTTTATTGTGGTCTTTTCGGCCTTTTTTGCCTTCGTCCCATACACACACAAATCCTATATCTCTATAGTTCTATATGTGTCTCTGCATAATGCAAAAGCAGTAATTAATTTGCCTTTAGTTTCATGCCATAGAAGCCTACAATTTTGATCTACACACATTCACCTCTCGGATACACACATTTGCATATATGTAGAAAATGGAGAAGAAAAAGATGAAATTGCTAAAGGTGGTGTGGAGATGTGGGGAGGTTTTGGAAAATTTTGTCAAATATTTTATTATTAGCATAATTGCATGCATATGCAGATGTGTGTGCAAATTTAAAATTTCAAATTTTCTTAATCATCGTCATCATCAGGCATGCCATTGTTCTTATAATATGTGCAAATATTATTATTATTCTATGTATGTTGTTTTTTGGGTAACATCCGTTTTTGAAGAGACATAACACAAAGATGGGAAGAAAAAAAATATTATCAGCATTAAGTGCATCTTGTTGATAAGGATTTAATAACACCATATCCAATATGAGAGCTTTCCTTTTAATTACATGCTGATAATGATATTTGAGACACATGCATTCTCCAATAATTTATTCTTTCATGCTGTTTCTATCATTATAATCATCGTCATATGATTATTATGGTAAAGTTAAAGCCAAAAGACGAGATATGAGGAGGATAAGATGAGATGAGAAAGCATCTTCTTACTCATGAGGAAAGAATAACAAACATCAGGACAGAAAATAATTATAAATCATAAATCAAATTACTCCCCATACATACAGACTTACACATATGTGTATGTATGATTGTATATAAAATTTATGTATTTTTAGCATCGAAAGATGGAGTCGTTTACTTATGGGTCCTTCAATTTAAAAAAATAATTCTTATGATAATTTTGCGATGTCGATTCCATTTTTTTGATGGACGTCATATGTGAATGTCCCCAGATGAAAAGAAAAATTTCTTATGTTTAAGGTTGAGTGTGAGTGATTTATAGGGACTTCATAGTTTTTCGATCGATCGAATCTATTAAGGATCTAAAAATTTGACCGAGTCACGACACAAAAGCCTCAAAAATGTAAACCCTCTAATGCATATACTTTACATTATATTACATAGAATAAATAACATAAATATATGTGCATAAATACTTTAGTATAGCTATCAAGTGAAGGAGGTTTTTTAAAACTTTTAGTTGCAGCAATAATTAATAATATACATTCATTCTATTCCCCAATACACTTTCATACATCCATCCTATATGAGACTTGTTTTACTGCAAGTTTGTGTTGTAGATGAAAATGATTTCTTTTTTTATGAAAAACATTGAGGGAAAAGTTTTTTGGATGTATATATACATATGGATGAACAAGCACGACGTAATAAAGAAATTTATGTAGAATGTGTTATGTATATTCTACATGTGTACACTTGCTTGATGTCGAGAATGTAATTGATAATTAATTGATTTCTTTTATATTTTTTGGTCCGCAAAAGGATCCCCTTACTCATTCCTCTTGCTCATATGAGTAAGTGCCTCAACATTCCTTAACATATTTTGTTGTAAATATTTCACACACAATCTTCATTGTGTGTATATGACCCCTCCATCTCCTCATCTAATAACATCCGCAAAAAATACCATAAATACTCCACCATAGTCGACTCATTCTACCGTCAGCAGATGGTGTATATTTGAAAATTTATTATCTGCGGGCGGGATGGAAAATATAAAAAAAGGGGAGGTTAAAAAGCTGCTAGTGAATTTTATATATGTATATAGCATAGCTCACTTGCAAGGCATATTATGTGTATATAGATTTTGTAGAAAATAGAAGAAGAAGAAGAAGAAGAAGCAAAAAAAGCCAATAGATTGAGGAATTGAGGCACCTCTCGGTACTCGGAGTGTACATGTATGAAATTTTTGTGAAAAATATGTATACATGCTCTCGGTGATGATGTGGTACGGCTTTCAATATATCGTATGCTGCTTTTGTTATTGTTGTTGCTTTAGCTGCCCCTTTTCACCATCCTCTTGCTCAAATATACATACATTTTTCCTTTTTTTTTCTCTCTGTGTATATTTGGAAAATAGCTTGAAAAATATAAAATTTTAATGAAGCTTTTCTCTTCCATTCCACCTTTCGTGGTATTTTTTTCATTAAAATACCATATTTAGATGGCGGATGCTATATTATTATATGGTGAATAATATACAGAGGGGTGAAACGGAGGAAATACACAACAAAACAAAAAAAAAATTAAACCTTAATTACACTTATTTATTTATTTTTTTAAAGTACAAAATATGATGCTTGTGGCTCCTCTGCCTGTGTTTAATAGAAAATTTGCTACTCTATGATGATTATTAATGAAAATTTTATCGATTTTTGTTCTCTCATTTTTTATATCTACCTCCTGATGGTATTTTTATTGCTATTTTTTTCTCATAATAGGCACCTTTCTTATTTTATATCCTCGTGTCTGACTTTATTGAAAACGTGTGAAATTCCTTTTAAAAAATTCACTGTTTTTTTAATTCGACTGAAAATGTAATCCTGAATAATACAGTTCAGTATAAATATAATTTTGTACTTAATAATGCAATCTTTTAAAAATGTGCGATGAGAAGCTTGTAAGGATTTCAGTTTTTGAGTAAATTCAATTTATCCTTTAATTTAACTGGCGACATTCAATAGCAAGTTTATTCTTCCTGAAAATAAATATTAAAATTCATAGTTCAACACTTAAAAGTTAAACTATCGCAATAAATTCTAAACAGCAGTAAAAAATAAATTTCAACTAATAACACCCATAATTGAGGTGCTAATGGGAACCATGCTAGTTTTTTATAACTCATAAAAAAACTACTTGAAGCGACATAAAAAATAAACTTCTGTTTGCTACTTGATAGATAAACTGCAGAGACTGCTGAATCATTTGAATAATGTTTGTTAGATGACTGTGGAGAGGGAATTTACAGTCAATTTTGATTGACAGTATTTTATACCTGGAAGTTGTTAACAATTGCGTTTTGGAATTGGATTTTGATAGATTTTATGACTCACTATGTTGTGAGTTGATGTGCCTCGTTGTCGAGGTGGTTTTGAGATGTTGTGCTTAGTTATTGGCTGATTGATCATGAGTTCCTATGGAGGAACCTTTCTTTAGAAGCTAGAATGTCATCAAATGAGTGGTTCGAATCCTTATATAAAATGAAGATCCTGGTTTGAAGAGGAAATCTTGAAAGAACGAATCTTATAAAGCACAAAATGTGCAGCTATGGATCTCAAAGTCTAAATAGCTAAAGTTTATGTTTAAACAACTTGATATTATCCAAAAAAAGCTAATAAAAAGCTAACAACCATCTGCAAATTCGTTCGTAAATAAACAAGCAAAAGTTTTTGCAGAAAAACAGGTGTTCCTGTTAATAAAGCATAATGCACTTCCCAAAACAAAAATATTTTCCGTTCATAACAGAAACAGAGAATGCACTCAACAACTGAGTTATTCATGGCTAAAGCTTGATTTTAAATAAGTTTGATAAAGTCACAAAATATATGAGCTGTGAGGTCATAAAATAAATAATATTTACATTTCATCAAAGATTTCAGATCTAATTAGCAAATATCAATCACAGTCATATCAATTTATTTCAATCTAATGACCAAAAGCCCCGCACAGAGCAGTAAAATAAATTTATTACATTTGCAAGCTACAAAAAAATAAAAATCGAGACAGAATTTAATGAATGTTGCTATTTTTAACACTTTCAAGGTCAACAAAATAAAATAAAAAAAAAATCCATTCTCAAGTAATAACAGAAAAAAACGTGAACAGAACAATTCTTATTGCTAATACACGAAAAGTATGTCTATCTTTTTTTTTTATATAAAAGAATCTATGTACATACATAGAAGTACTTCATTGTTGTTTCACATAATATAACACAAATATAGATTTTTGACTCTTTTACGAGAGAGTTAAGGAAGGAGTCATGACTAGCACCACGTAAAGAAGAAGAAGACAAAAATAAAACTGGTTTAAAAAAATGCATACACGAGGTATGCTCTGTGCAAGCATAGCAAGTGGAAAAATTGAAACTATGGCACAAAAAAAAAGGTGGAAAATGAGAAAAACGTGAAGAAATTTCTGTTTTGCTTGTACAAACAAGAACCAGTAAGAAGCAAGCAGATGATGATGATGATGAAAAGTAAACTTCGAGACATGATGCAGTTTAAATATTGAAACGCACGAAAATCACATTGGTTGTATTATTGATGAAAAAAGAGCAGCAACATAATAAAATGTAAAAGTTCATGGGCGAAGAAGAGTGAAGGAATTTTTTTGTGTTCAAATTACATGTATGTATACACACATTTTTTATATACAGCAATCTCATGATGTTGTACTACCATCCCGATATGATGAAGGGTGCCCCATGAGAAAAATCTCATTTCTTTCTTCTTCTTACAATTTTATTTTATTTTTTGTGTATGGCGATACAACAACAATAATAAGAGGAGCAGCTTCATGGGTGGGGTGGAATGGTAGTGTGTGTGGTAAAATGAAGTGTCTCACGCTCAGCTGCCTTTTCTCAATATTTTCAATTTTTTTTCTTCTATTTTTATTTTTTTTACATCTCTCTTATTCACTTACTCATCTATTCCTTTCTCATTCTAATCTCCACTTTTTTTAGGTGATGAAAAATTTACCACCAACAATGCGGGAGGGAAAGAAAGCTAAGGTAAGAGATCTAATGGACTATGGGTTGAGTAGGTAGACATAGCAAAAAAGAGACCAGAGCAGATGAGACAAAATCCGCATACCACAATTCACCCCACTGCTGTGATCTGTCACCCCACCAAGCATCATCCCAAACTCAATTTTTTCTCATTTTCCCAATTTTCTCTTGAAAATGTGTGTACACATACATGACGAGATGAGATGCAAATAATGGAAATTAAAAATAAATAGAAAATTTTCCTCGACGAAAATTTTCCGTTGTTGGTTTTTCTTCACTCACTCACTCATACACACATAAGAATATATTTTTACATATACATGCACACGCAATGGAAATTTGTAAGTTTTTCTCTTCATCATGCTGATGTCGATGTATAGTTTTTTTTTCTTTCTTGTGGTGCTTGCTTGCTAGCTTGCTTGCCTTCTCGTCGGTCGTCTCACGAATACACACACACATACACACTCACATATTGTCAGGATGGAAAAACTTTCCCTTTAATGAACGTAAAAAAAATTCCTTCCCTTATTCTCCACACGACTTATGTAGACTTATGTACATGATGCAAGTGAGCCTATTGTTATTACCGCCAAACTCTCTTTCTGCTCTCACACGCTGCTTCGTTACTCATTCTCTCTCGACCAAATTTAATCCTCTCTTCCTCTCTGTTATTTTTGTTACTCGATAAAAATGAAAATAAATTTTCTGTATACACAAAATTTTCTATATATATACATATTTAAAATATAATGGGAAAAGCGTCATCCTCGAGAGTCGTGCATACGGAAAAGTATATTTTTTTTTGCTGTTGTTGCCTGAGTACAGAAAATAGCGCGACGATGAGCATGTGTTGGAGAGTGTCGGAGCGAAACAACAATAACAACAACAATACAAAAAGTTATCATCGTCTGTAGACGATGCATGGAAAGGAAAGGAAAGAGGTGCTGCTGCTGAATGTACTTTTTCGGAGAAGAATTATTCTTTTTTTTTGTGAACGTCGTTGCCGTTCTCCAATACTACGAAAAGCGCCACACAGCACATAAGAGAGAGAAGAAAAAAAATCCCGACATTCGGTCTGTAAAATAATATTTTTCCTTTCCATTCTTATAGCCGCTTCAGTCTTGTAAGAAAGTTTGAACGATTCGGTCGCGCAAAATTTCGATAAGCGGGATAAATCTTATCAGGAAATACACACAAAGTTTTTCAGTTTTTTGAGTCAAAAAAAAAAAATTTAAAAAAAATCCTCAGTTCCGTTCTACCATAATAAAGTATTGTGTGATGAAAATCATTTTTTAGTGTGTGCAAGTCACTTGTGGATGAGAAAATCAATTTGCCAAGGCATTGATGTGAAAAATTAATTGAAAAATTATCCAAGTAGCTAGAAAGAAGGAGTCATCGAGTTTTGAACAAGGATCAAGTGAAGACAAATCCTTTAATTGTGCCGCGTGAGAAGCTTTCCGTGCTTTACACAATTCTCAGTTGAATGATATACACAATACAAAAAAAAATATATATTTTTGTGTTATTTTCATTCTGAGGCGAGTAAATGAAATGAAAATGTGAATCAGATAAACAGTCACAGCAGTAGAGTACATACATACATACGGCGAGGAAATAAATATTTTTATTTGTTTTGATTGTGGTTTTTACTCATTCACGAATAAAAAAAAATATATAAAAACATACAATAATAAAAATAAAAAGTTTTGTGCTTGGCGAGAAAGAAAAAAAAAGCTTTGTTTTGAAAACAAAAATAGAAAAAAGAAAAATCCGCGTGAAAAACACAAAAGGAAAAGGAACAGTTTCCCCATAGTTTTGAAGATTATCTTTTGTCAAGGTAAATTTTATCATTTCTCATGCTTTGATAATGATTGACAATATACAATTAAATTGTAATTTTTTACACTTCAAGTTGAGCTTCATTCGTTGAGAGAGGAACCTCACATTCATTCTTTAATTTTAATTAATTACTTTTTAATATTCTACAAGACAATCTAGCTGGTGCTGCTGTTGCTGTGGATTCTTGAATGACTTTTCCATCGATTTTTTGTTAAGATTTCAAATTTGAGTCACCCCAAAAAATTAATTTTCTTGAAATTCCACAAAAATTTGATTCAAAAAAATTCCATTCAGTAAATTCATAAATCCCAACCCAATCTTAAATTCCACAAAACCAATCCCTTAAAAAATATCGATTCTCAATAAAATTCCATCCAAGTGTAGTTCTTTAATTAAATAATGCCTGAACTTTAGTTTCAAGAAAAACAACAAAAACTTGAAGAATTAAATTTTGTTAGATATTCGACAGCCAGAAGTGAGTGAAAAAGAGAGAGACAAGAAAAAAGTAATTAAGAAATTCCTTCAATTTTGTTAAATTGCGGCTGAAAAAAATATTTATACTTGTATATCCATCTATATATAAGAAATTAACTGCCAAGGCAATAAATCATTAATTTAAATTAAAAAAACGAGTAGAATGAAGACAGAATGAGAGAACCATAAACTGTTGTTTGAGTATGATCTTGCCGTCCTCCCTTCTTGTCTTCTTCTTTATATGTTCCTCTTTTATGCTGCAGTTTTATGATAAAAGATATTTTTTGGTGCATGCTTGGTACTAGGAATGGATTTTAATACTGGAACTAAGGAGGTTTTTGAGAAAATTATGGACAAAATTGAGAAATTATTAAAAGCTTTATTATGATCAAAAATCTAGTTTGAAAGTTAAAAAAAAATTTAAGAGTCAAATTTATTTTTGAATTATTGAAAAAATTAAGATTTCAATAATTCAAATTTTAAATTTTCAAAAAATTAAACATTCATCCACATGCTTTTTAAGAATTTACTGACTCAAAGTTTTTGAATTTTTAAAATCTTCAAAAAATGATTTAGATTTTTATTTATTTTTTTTGAATCTTTAAAATTTTGAAATTGATGAAAATTCAAATAAAATTAAAATTAAAAGTCAAAACTAAAGTTTTCAAAAATTTCAATTTTGAGTTGCAAAAAAATTATATTGAGGTAGGAAAAAATCCTCCAAAGAAACTCTAAAAAATGTAAATTGCTGACCAAAAAAAAAATCAAATGAACAAAAAAGTTTTAAAAATATTACAAAAAGTTTCAATTAAACCAAAAATTTGATGCTGATAAGCAAAAATTCATAACAAAGAAACTTACGAAAAAAAATCCACATGGAGCTAAAAATTATCATTCTCAACGTGCTGATGCTGTACAATTTTTTATTTCGTGTGCATCAAAAAAATCGCAATTAAAAACAATTGAATATAATTATCATAAAAAAAATTGTTGTACAATCTCTGTACATGAAAATTTGTAATACACTCTCCGTGCCCAAGTGAAATTTTCATTGTTTGGTGCCCAAAAATAAAGAAACGAACGCAAACTTATTATGCATAAAAGCGTTTCCCACGTTTTCACCTTTAAATCCCTCTCCTTTAATTCAACCAAGCAACAACAACGGAATTCTTTATCTCTCTTATTCTCATATTCTCCTTTAATTTATCTCATCTCCACCTCCTTTTTTTGCTTTCTTGTGCTGTGCAAAAATTTCATTTATTTTTTTTTTCATGCCACACAAAAAAAAATCATTTTTTTTTAAGAACCACGTTCGATTCTTTATGTTGATGTATAAAAGTTATTTAAGTAATGAAGAAAACAAAGAACACGAGAGAAGGAAAAGAACATAAAATAAAGTTTAAAGAATGTCCAGACATTTTAATTAAATGGGATTTTAATTAAATCGTGATCATAATAAATTCTCTTCTCTTTTTTATGGCATTTTCTCTCTTCCTCTGATTCTCCATGCATTTCCCATTATTATTATCAATTTTAATCATTTTTCGTGTGTAATGAAAGTGCATTATGGTTATTAAAATATGCTTATGGCATAATATTAAACTAGACACAATAGCTTCTTGCTTAATATTGCTTCGTATCTTATATCTAAGCAGCTGTGAAGGAGAAAATAAAAAAAAGGTTTTATGAGACTTGCAAATTATTTCATACTTATAATTTTCAATATTCATGGTTGAAGCTACTCGCTGGAATTATTGATGCATAGTTGGGTGAATTGTGGTGGTTCTATTGGAAAGAAGTTTGAGGATTAATTTTTTTTTTTTGGAGATGTTGCCAATTTTTTCTGAGAATGTTTTAAGTTAACGAAGACTGATTGTAATATAATCTGGCTGATATGCAGTCAACCAATCAGGTTAGAGAACAGTCAATTGATTGAGCAGTTTAAGAGTCAGTTGCTCTGAGATGTTTTAATTTTTATTGATTTTTAACTGCATCCCCTAATAGTCACAATTGTCCTTACTTAAGTTTTCTCCACAGGATCTTTGATTTGAATTCTGTTGAAATCAAAGACCCATTGTGCTTATATTCATGACTATGTTGATTTTATTTGATAGTCATTTGGTTGCCATACTGAACTAAAAGTTTGAAGTAACTCCATTGTTAATCCATATAGATATTAAGTTCTTTAGGGGAGTAACGTCAATGTTGTACAATCATGACAGTTATGGTAACATGGGTCGCTAACCAAGGTTGCTTTAGCTTAGCTTTTATGTCACCTAGAGAAGCTTTTGTCGATTTTTCTGTCCCAAGATCATGAATAGTATGTGAAACAATCGAAAAAGATCAAATCCAGCTTAACATTTTAGAGTAATATTGGATATTTAAAATTATAAGCGAACTTTAAGTACAATTTTAGAATTGTTGATAGAATGGATAGAATACCTAACTCTACATCTCCAAACTTCATCCCAAAACATTCCAAAAAATCAATAAATTTTCAAAAAAGCAAATTTCTAAAAAACATTTAATCTTTAAGCTACATTCTCCCTAAATTACCCACAAAAATACCATTAAATTTAAATGTAGCAACAACAATTCCTTAATGGATCTGAATTTTTTCATATCAAACACAGCTGTTGTGGATATAATTCTTAAAATCGCAAGAGACGTAAAGATCCCACATAATTTAT